GAAAGACCACAGGTGATATTTTCAACTTCATGAATTCCCAATTTCATCTTCACTAATTCACGATTTCAGCTTCAGGAATTCACATTTTCAACTTCATGAATTCACGATATGAACTCTATAAATTCATGATTTGAACTTTACGAATTCCTTCCATGAATTTACGATTTCAACTCCATGAATTCCGATTCAACTTCATGAATTCACGATTTCAACTTCATAAAACGGGAATTCACTAAGAAAAAAAATTGTAAATTCATTAAGATGAAATCGATAATTCAAATGGTCCTACTGGTCTTTCGTAAATGTTACTGTGACCTGATCTTCATGCATTGGTGCACAGAAACAATAAGGATTTGTTTCTAAATGGCGATGATAATCATATTGAGTTTGAATGCTTAAGGTAAATGTTTCTTAAGTTATTGAGCAGAAATTGTTTACGCATCCAAGATTCATCCAGTGAAATTGTGACCTTCAAGCATTGGCACTCAAAATCAAAAGAGGCATTACACTCAATGAGGGTGGTCATCTTATGAATTTCAACGGCTTTGGGTCAAATGGTTCTTTAGTTATTGAGCATAAACATTTTCATATTCAAGGTCACTCTGACCACAAAAGGGTATAAAGCTATATCTGATGAAAATTTTTGTAAATATTTAAAAACTGTAAATACATATTGTTGTCATATCCTAGCGGTAATATCTCAAAAAAGTTGTTACATAGAATGCCCTTGTTATTTAACATACATGAATAGTGTACGTTAATCAGAATAAAATGTTCCTGAAAAAAATATTCCCCTACTATTTTAGTTGTGTTAGCGATAATATAACACATATTCCACCCTCTTTCATTAAAGTATTTGGACATATTTTGTTTTATGTTTTTGTAGCTATTTTAATTATAATATAAACAATATTTTTGACATCAAAAAACACCAAAGATATAGCTTTATTCACTTGAAGCATCGGCACCCGAACGTGAGGGATTTTTAAACTAAATCTTGGTATTCTTATAAAAATAAGGTTTGAAGGATATGGGTCAAATGATTCTCTGAAAATTGAGCAGAAACGGTTTTCACAGTGATGTTGACCTCCACATGTCGGCACCAAAATCAATACAGGTCTTTTACTCTATAAGAGTGATCATCCTATGAAGATTGGAGGATGTGAGTCAAACATTCTCTAGTTATTGAGGTGAAACTGTTTACACATTCAAAGACACTGTGACCTTTCTCAGCGCCCTAAATCAATGGGGTCATTTACATAATGAGAGTTAAATCCTGCATAAAACGCAACGCTATCAATAGGGTCAATTTTTTACAATTATAAAGACAAAACGCATATTTATTGTAAGGGATGTTGTATTACACTGTCATAAAACATCTGTTTTTTTCTATCCATCCTATTACTTTTAAATATAAGTATACTTAAGGAATCAAACATAATGTATTTCCTATAAATCATTATTAATATGGATACAATAATCTGTCTTATATTCACTTCATTTATCTATATCTCTTCAAATTGTATGTATCGATTTTCTGAATACATGCTAGTCGTTTCCGTTTTGATGTACAGCAATATTCGGCACAAAGGGAAATAACTCGAACAAAGTTTAAATACAGTTGGATGTAGAGTAACTTTCCTTTTATAATTATTAGGATTTTTTACTTATTAATTAACAACAAAATATACAAATGCTAAAAGAGCTTCATGGGATAACAGACTCAAAAACGCACAATAAGGTTGCATGTAAACATTAAGCAGAATATATTAATATATAAATTTAGTAAAATATTTATGATTACTTGGAAACAATGTATGTTATCATATTCTTCAATCAGTTAATGATAAAATAGAATAAAAGTGTCATTCTGCTATTATAATAAAATATCAAAATAATTATATTGTTACAGGCTTTGTGTTGTTGAACGTATACGTTTGAAATTTCAAATATGAAAAAAGTAGTTATATATAAGCTTACAGAGGATTGATTTCCTATGACGATGAAATTGCATGGAAGATGCTAAAATAGCACTGTATGTTCCTCCTACTGTTTAAATTTAGACATTAAAATATTGGTCATATTTTCATTAAACTTGATCAGTATACAGTCATGTATATGTATAGTCATTATAAATTAATGAGCAAATGCACTCATAAAGTTGACAGATTTATTTTTAATTTATGGTCTTTTATTGATGTTTTAGTCACATATCTTAACAAATATTCTGATTCCGTTCCAAACGTGATTAATATATTTGACGTTATATGTGTATCCGAATTTCAATAAATAGTTCATCAATTTAAATATGTTTGTATAGATATGAGTACAAAAAAATATATAGAAATAAAATGTTAATTTCGGAAGCAAGTGTAATCAATAATGAAAACTGCCATATTTGAATTAAATGCATCTATCAAACTTCATTAGAGGGAGGATATTCACTCATTCAATAGCGAGAAAAGAAACTAATCTATATCAAAAATACTGAACATTTAAGAGTTGACAACATGCATCATAATGGGCGGTAATTAAAGCTAATTTTTATGGTGGCTGATTTGTACCATTCGCGTTTTCGCCCCGCGACCCCACTAAGCGAAAGGTCGAGAATTATCAAATAAAAATGGCAGGGGCGCGGAGCGGAAACAGGCTAATTAGTGGGAGCTTGGGGCAAAATTTAATAAATAAATCTTCGCGCGGAGCGAGATTTATGAAATAAAACGGAGGGGACGCGTAGCAAAAAACACTCTATTTATCGCCTAGCCATTTAAACTTGTTACTAATCGACTTTTCGCTTGGCGGGGTCGGTAATTAACAAATTTAAGCAAAATCACGTTTATTATCGGGGGCAAGCGGCGAAGTTTTATTTATTAAACTTCGCCCGCGTCCCCGCTATTTGGCTTGTTTTCTTCCCGCGACCTCTGTCTTTTTAATCTCGCTCCGCGCCTCCTCGGGACGAAGTTTTATTTATTAAATTTCGGCCACGCCCTCGTTAATTAGCGTGTTTTCGCTCCGCGCCCCTGCCATTTCAACTTGTTAATTATCGACTTTTCGCTAGGTTGACTAGGTCGCGTGACGAAAACACGCTTATATGCGGGAACGCGCTGCGAATTTTAATTTATTAAACCTGCAACCCCGCTAATTGACGTGTTTTCGTTCCGCCGTTTTATTTCTTTAGTCTCGCTCAGCGTCCCCACAGGGCGAAGTTTTATTTTTCTTTATTTTAACTTCCCCCGCGCCCTTTCTCATTAGCGTGTTCTCCCTCTGCCTCCCCCGCCATTTTAACATGTTAATTTTTGACATTTCGCTCGACCGGGTCGCTGGGCGAAAACACGATTGGCACAAATCAGCCACCATACATTGTTGATATGTATCTCTGATGTTATATATACACGTTCTATTTTATTTTTTTTTTACATATCCTCTTACTTCAACTCAATTAATCGACACGGATTAAATGATGATAGAATTAAGGAGATTTTACGAAAATTCTTACCGCATGCAATCATAGAATCTTATTTTGCATAAGTTTCTTTTTAAACAAAATATTAATTGCAATAAAACGCATCGGGATCTGTATGTATATACAACTAGCTATTCGATTTAAGCAAATATAAACGTGTTAGATAACCTCCCTTTTCTACATACTTGCTTATCTGGATTGGTTTATTTTTAGCACAATAAAATCGGTCGTGTAAAGATATTTCAATTATCTTTCTTGTAATAGATTATGAAACCGAAAAGGGACAAATTACTTTTAATGTAAATCTGTGTCAAGGAAAATGGCCGCCATTTCGGGGAGTGAGATGGAAAATCTGTCGGATGAAACATTTCAGTTATTATGTTCACCCTGTAAACGCAAGGGGAGGAATAAAGAAGCGGACAAATACTGTACCGACTGTCATGATTATTACTGCTCAGAGTGTGTGAAATTCCATGAGGATATCCCAGCCCTTTCCGGACATAATATCCTTGATAAAAGTCAGGTTAAACAAGAAACAAGGGTAGGTTTACCTGTAGCACCAACGGAAAAATGCGAGAGACATAGGTTTAAACCTGTTGACATGTATTGTCGAAATCATGATGACGTTGGTTGTTCAACGTGTATGGCAGTAGATCACAGGTATAAATATTTTATATTCTTTAACTTGAAATTAGATATAATTTATAGTATTACAATATCCTAATTAAACTAAATGAATAAACAGTCCTTTATTTTTGTTTGCTCAGGCGTAAAACTGTACAGAGTAAGCGACGCTTTATTTAACTCCATCAAGATTTATAAATGTACATAAAAGGATTTATTATATACTTATAAATGAAATATTGAGAAATATTGATGAAATAAAATGCGTATTTTCATTTTCCGTATTTTCACTGTAAAAATTTATTTTTCACTGCAGTGAAACATATTTTCCGTATTTTCACTGGTGTCTTGCCGGACTACTTTCTTTTATATTCTACCAGTACACAAAATTTAAGGGAAAGTTTTTCAAATTTTATCGCAAAAAAGAGAAAAATGTACATAATAAACAGAAAATTCAAGTTTTTTCTATAAATACATGATTTATTTTCATCTTGTGGCATGAAAATTACCATATTTCACTCGTGGCTACCGCCACTCATGAAATATTTATTTTCATACCACTCGATGAAAATAAATCATGTATTTATAGAAAAAACTTGAATATCCTCTATGTAGTAAACTAGCCATGTAATGTTATTTACACTGTCAAGTCAATTGCACCTAAAGTTCATAACAAAAACGTTAAACGTAATAGGATAAATATGTACTAGATTTTGTTTTTTAATACGGCGACGGTATAAATAATGAAATTAATCGAGTTCTTACATTTCCAATACAAATTAGGATGTGCAAATAAGAATGACACATTTTAAGGTCAATTGACATTTTTATGATATTGATGTTGTTGTTTTTCTTGTTTGTAATAAACATTGTTTCTGGTTCTGTGAAATTTTACTTTATTTAAAGTTTAGTTAAATTGTAATTACAGTAACATTTAATGAAGGAGATAGCGTGCTGATATACTAAATATATCTGATATTGGTTAGTTGTTTGTACACAACTACACTACATTTAAATCTAAGATGTATGACCAATTGGCAGCATTTGAAAAAAAAACGCCAACATTTTACATGGCGTTGTTAAAAAACAAAGTGTTTACTTTATGTAAAACATTTTTTATCACTTTAACATTGGAGAATATTTTTTCACAAACACCTTTTTTTACTTTCCACACACAGGTCATGCAACGATATCTTCGATGTTCCAGAGTTTGTTCAAATAAACCAATCACAAGCACAGACAAAGAAACCACTTGCAGATCTATCCGTAGAAAACGCCAATTTGAAGAAAATGCTAGAAACTCGTATAAATGAAAGGGAGAGTTTGATGAACGACAAACAAAAGGCATTGCTAAAATTGAAAGATTTCAGAAGGGAAATTGAAATGAAGCTGGATAAGCATGAGCAAACAAGTATCGAACAAATCGAGAGTAAATATAATGTCATTGATGAGAAAATAAATGCTGAAATAAAGGTCTTAGAAACTGTACAGAAAGATGTTGAACATGCTGAGGATAGAATGGTGTCATGTGATGATGATAATAATATATCCCAAGCATTCGTCTCTTCTAAAATCGGTAAACGAGCTATTGGTGCTGCCATAAAATGTCGAGAAGAAAAAGCAACTGTAAAGCATGTTAAAGATTTCGAGTTCAAGAGAAATGAAAATATAATAATCTGCCTGAATGAAACGGAAAATCTTGGTAATATATGTCAATCCAATGAAATCTACAAAGTAAAGAAGAAGAGAACATTTAATGTTAGACATCAATCTGACACACAAACATGTTATATATACAGTGCATGTGAACTTGGTGATGGGTCTATAATTCTTGCTGATAACAAAAATAAGAATTTGAAACGTATTGACAGTAAATTCACTAACAAAGATGTTTGTGAATTACCACAATCACCATATCAGATTTGTACAGTCAATACACATGATGTAGCTGCCATAAGGTTCGGAGGAAAAACTATATATTTTGTTTCTTTTGCCAAAGAGCCAAGACGCACTAAAGAAATAAACATTGATCATGAAAGTTATGGTATTGCGTACGCGGTGAACAATTTATACCTTGTTGATTCTCGGAAAACTGTTTTCGTTTACGATATGAATGGTACAAAGCTTAAACAATTCACAAACGATCAGACAGGGCAGCCTTTGTTTAATGATATATACAGCATGACTGTAAGTACTGATGGTAGCAGGATCTATGTTGCTGATGCCACATTTGCAATTGTTGCTCTTAAAGAGGATGGTACTCTACAAGGAAAGTATAACTGTGATGAACTCAGTCATGTAAGACGCGTCTGTACTGCTGAAAATGGGAATATTCTTGCCTGTGGATATGACAATAATTGCATTTTACAGTTCACTAAGGATGGGGAGAAGCTGGGAAATGTTTTGTCCTCAGATGATACAAAAGTAGGATGTCGATCTATATTTTATCATCATAAGAATAATGAGCTTGTAGTTGGTCGATATGATGACAACATGGACATCTACGAACTCATTTGAAAACATTAGGTACTTGTGATAGCCTGTAAAATATGTTGTATTGTTAAAACTATGTATGCTATGTAGACTGTTACATCTGTTTACATTTTGAAAGAAAGTACTTGGTCTGTATTTCCATTGATTTTGTAGCACAAGATATTGTGTCAATGAATGCAAACACAAAATAAAATAAAATAAAATAAAACATTTTACATTTAGTTTAAAAAATTGTATATATTTCAAATTGTACAACATTATCATACAATTAGCATACAATTTCAATATCTTTCTAAATGAACACTGCAAAATCTAAAGTGTATAAAGATAATTATCTGATACCAAACTATTGTTTGAATAAAAAGGATTCAACATGAATGTATTAAATAAATATGGAATCAAAGTACCTTAAAAGCGAATAGCATATACACAAAATCATTTCAAAACAGACAAAATATTCACGCTTCTATGTTACAGCTCTTACGAGAATGGACCAAACGATTATGGCACATTATCATTTTACCTTTGAAAATACTTCATAAATTAAAGCTTTGTTTCCTTTAAATTACTAATATCCTGAATAAATCGATTAAACGAAAAGACTAATTTCAAACGATTTAAAGTGACATTTTTAGAAACAATGTACGATATTTATAACAAACAACAACAACAACATAATTTTCGTCCAAGACATTTATAAATTATTCATTTGATTCGAATCATAATTAAACTTACAAAAGAATCTATTTTTTTTTTAAAATGTTTAACTTTGGTTTTTATAACTAGTATTAGTTGCGCAAACAAATGTTTATTTATATTTGCACTATCAATTACATTCACTTGTGCGTTACCCCTCTCATAATCAACTGAAAAAAACGAAATATTAATATACTGATAACGAGAACTAATCACAGCTTTAAATTTACTGAAAACCGTTTTGTGCTATTTGTATACTGATTGTCACATGATCATTTGCAGGTCAATGTTCAGATGCAAATATCTTAGTTTCGAAGTCGAATTTTTGAGCACAAACATTATTTTACTTTAAATGAAACTATTCAAAGGAATATTAATCAAGGTGCTTTTTAGAAAATTGGGCTTTAAGCGGTTTCAACTTTGCAAAGGTTCGCGCTGTTTATTAAACATGACTTTGATAAAAAAACGAAAACAATTTACCTGTGACAATGACATTATACACACATCAGTATTGTTCGACTGTAAAATATGTGAGAAAAAAAATATCACATCTTTGTACTATTTAGTGTACTATAAAGTGCAAATAATGGAAGAATCTGACGTATTTTTTTTTTAGTTAGATATATCACTTTCTGCTCATTGTACTAAATCAAACATATTAAAGTGTCTCAATTCACAACTAAATTCATCGAGTTGAATTGAAGTTTTCCTTACTCGCACAAAAATTACCTCATTTAAAACACACGATGAATATTACACGTTTGGTGTTAAATGCATTTTAGTAGCACGTACAAGTGTAGACAGTAGTAAGATGTAACTGATATGCTAAAAACATTCAATTTGATATAATATACATAAATATCATCTTATAAGATGAAAAACGTTGTGCAAGTAGAGATTGCTTATATTATAATATTACACATCATTTTTCGTTTGTTTGTTAGAAAAATAATGTGTGTGTTTTGTCTGTTTTTTTTTTTGTATGTTTTTTACCAAATAAAAGCAATTCAATACACTCTTAGAATTAGTGCAACAGTTAGTGTAACACATTAAATACATTTTATATCTTGGACTAAATAATTAAGGTACAGGTGTACATGCATTATACCAAGAAAGAAAATTGAAGATCAATATACAATTGTACCATTATATGTTAACAATTTAAAAAAAATACATTTTGTATTGCAGATTAATAAATTTTGTATTTGAAAGTACGACATATATTCTGCCAACGTAAATTTTGATAGGAGTTGGTCATATTTTGTTTTGTCTCATTGTTGGGCGTAAAAAGATAGAACTGAATTACGTTTATTAATAATTCATCTGGAAAGACTGTAGTCTGAAAATTGAAACATTATATTAAAAAAGAAATCTACATAAAATATAAGTACTTCCAGAGTGAGCTACTGCCACATAGAAAACTATCTTTAAACTCGATATTTTATTTGATAATTCAACCACTTATTTTCTGCATTGTAGATTGTAAACTACGCCTGTACATTTAAAATAAATGTTGCGTTTTCCTCTTTATCACAAAATCGTGCCGCTTTTGCGGCTCCGGTAAAAAACGATATTGCATTTTTATGTGACGCCATTTGACATTTTGACATAGCGTGAAGAACTTACGTTTGTAACGTCGTTTTTCAGTGAATAATCGTGACGTTTATATAGTTTTATATACACGTTTTCTGTCGATTCATGACGAAATCTTACTTTTTCTCTAGAACACGATGCTTGCTGTATTATAAATTCGTTATTAAGATTGTTGACAGGTTATATGACCCTATATAAACGGCTGTTTCCAATAAAACCCTCGCCTTACAACTATTTGGATGAAATGATATCATGCTCGCCAATTCAATTATTTCAGTACTGAACAAACACTGTTATATCCTCTATTATTATTATTATATCTCTCGATTAAAAAAATCTGAACAAAGAGTTGTGACATCGACCTTACCAGCCTAGAACCTAGAAATCTAACACAGGTTTGTCCAAAGAAAAGTTCAAATATGCATTGAATCAATAGCATAACTAACATTACACCGTAGACCATGATTACGGAGAAACCGATTAAGAACCTAGGGATAAGCTTTGTTAAACTCTGTTATATGTTTTTTCATCCACAAGAAGATTCATTACACACACTTTTTTATTTTGAAGGAAGAGGTCGGATAACAATTCTTTTCAACAAAATCGACATGAATCCAATGTCGTTAGATTTTAAAAAAAAAGGTTAAAAGAAAAATATTTACACATTTAAACATGCATTTTTACTTCATATAGGTCGGATTTGTAAATAAAATAATAACCATTTAGTATACAATAAAACTAATTGCTAACTAGTTGATGCATACATTTACATTCTCCGTACCTGAAGTGGTTTAATTTTACGCGCGGTATCGATCGTGGTCATGACATTTGTGAGGTTGATGAAGGCACCCCTATAAAAAAAATGTTGAGCGTTCTTTGCGTAAGTTATTCTTTGCGGTAATTTGGCGCAGTCTCCGCCATGTTTTAAGGAGAAAGAATAAAGACAATGAATTAAGAACATATTCTTTTCTTTTTAGGTAAGTATTAACAAGTAAGAGAAAGAAAAAGACTTTCTTCGATAAGTTTATTCATTGTATTTTTTGTTTATCGTAACTGTTATCAATGGCATTGTATTGTTTAGCTTGCAAACATGTTTAAAGTTGAGAGTCATATGTTTTCGCGGATAAACGTTTTACATACGTATTTTAATATTCATCTATATATCATCATATTTTTACTGTTTATTGTTAATACGCATTTTATATGATAACTATGAACTTTTTGTAAGTAAAATACAGTTTAATAATTGTTTAGACAATTATTTAGAATACATGTAGCATGTTTTATGCCATATTTGGAAAGAGCTCGGTAAATGAACCCAAAGGCAATTAAACGACATAAAGTCGAACATGTAACATATTGTTTGAACATTACTAAATAAACGACATAAAGTCGAACATATAAAATATTGTTTTGAACATTGTTTATATGCTATTTGTCTAACTGAACATATGAAAATTCATTATTATCTTTCATCTTTTGTTAAGTATATACAGTTATAAGTGCCAAATTAATTGATTGTCAGTATTATCATTTGTGCCAATGATTTAGATTGTTATTGTTTTATGCATAATAGTAAATTCTCAAGTTAAGTATCTATAGTAGCAGTTTAGTAATCATCAGTTTAATATGTTTTTATTTCAATCAGATATATAAATAATTAAGGTTGTGTTGTTAATCAGGTTATTATTATTCATTCCAAACATTTTACATTGCAGTATTATAATGATAATGATTTATATTTTAATACTCTTTGCATGTACCCCTAGACATGAGTAAAGTTGAAACGTTGTTATATTTTAGTTGAACAATTAGTTAAATGTTTTTATGCCACATGTTGTTATGCAACGGCAGTCTCCGCCATGTTTTAAGTAGAAAGAATAAAGACAATGAATTAAGAACATATTCTTTTCTTTTTAGACTCCGTATCATATCTTCAATTTGACCCGGCCAACACATTACCTGTTATAGATAACGAAACCGAAAATGGACATATTTTAAATAAGTTAATCTGTGTAAAGGAAAATGGCTGCCATTTCGGGGAGTGAGATTGAGAAACAGTCAGATGAAACACTTCATCTGTTATGTTCTCCCTGTAAACGTAAGGAAATAAATAAAGAAGCGGACAAATATTGTGTTGACTGCCATGATTATTATTGTTCGGATTGTCTAAACGTTCACAATGAATTTCCAGCCTTGTCTGGACATAAAATTCTAGATAAAGATCAAGTCAAAGATGGGGCGACCGGAACATTGCCTGTAACACCAACACAAAGATGCGAGAGACACGGGTTTAAACCTGTTGATATGTATTGCCAAGGTCACGATAACGTTGGGTGTACTTCATGTATGGCAATAGAACACAGGTCAGACACATTCTAATCCATGTCATGCAGAGCGTTAGCCGAAATTAAATAATAAATATAATGAAGCAAATGTAACTTAAACTTATTAGAGTGATATTTGTTTAGTTTACTTAATTTGCCTCTTATCAATTTCCAATTTAATGTACCTATAAATAGTTGCATTTCTTGTGAGATATATCCTAGATATATGATTAAATATGTGTTAATTATGTTTTCAAAAACCTTAAAATAGACCTTGTTTACATAGATTCCGTCAGATAAAAAAATTTGCGCTGTTTGACATACAAATTATCATTCTGACTGAACATGATATTTCATAATTCTTTAAAAACTTTATAAGATACAGTTTAATGAAATAATGTATTCATTTTGCTTCATATGTCGTGTGTGCGTTTATCAATTTAACAAACATAATTTGTGTTATCAATCGCACGGTTTAAACTTCACTGCCACTCTGTATTTCAACTGTCTTTTAGAAAAGTTAGAAAAGAACCTATTTTGGGGCACGCGCAATGAATATCAATACATCTTTCCAATTTAGTTTTGGGAAAAAATGTGTGTTTTTCATGTAAGAAATTGAAAATAATCATGAGGTTTTGCTCTTAACAAGATTTTATTTTCATTTTGGCAAATGGTTATGAATGGCATAGTTTTCATGACTAATACGCCTACGACAAAACTGTTAACACAGTCAAGCTGTACTTAGGAACCGTTGTGATTTTCACAATAAACTCATGTAAAATTATAATTTATTTGAAAATGTTTATTGAAATAAAAGCGAGACAAGTTTTACGTGTAAATACATATAATTATAGTGTAGAGCAATTTTTCCAAGATTCGAATTAGTACCGTAATATTTAAAATGGCCCGGCGATATACGGATTCAAGCTCAAATAATTCTATTATAAAATAAACATAAGAGACATATAAGACATATCTGTTGAAAGCTTAAAGGAGACATGTATAATTTACACAATGAGATAGCTACTGTATCAAATGAAAATGAAGAACGACATTTCTGAGTTAATTGTTTGTTTTCGTCAGTTATTTTATACATTTTTACAAAATGCACTATGTAAGTACATTATTTGTTTCCTTTCCTCAATATTTATAATGTTCTTAACTCGATTATAAAAAGGACACTTTTGGGACTAACAATTAATTACAAATAAAGACATATATGGTTATTAACATGTGAAAATGATAATTCTCGTATCATATTTGGAAAGAAACAAAATGTTTGATGTACAAACACGATCTTTTGTCGAATAGCTCATAAAAGTGTGCCTTAAAATCACATTTAACGTACATATATAATTCACCAAGTTTTATTATTCCTATCTAGATTGCATGGAATGCCACTGTCTAATGTAAAATAAATGCATTGCCTATGCATTATATACAACTTAAATTATTCAATTTTCAGGTCTTGTAACGATGTTTTCTACGTGCCTGAGTACGTCTTAGATCATGACCCTACAACTCAATGTGAAGACGTTCAACGCAAAATGCTAGCTGTTACCGATGACATTGAATTTCAGCTAAACATTCGACAACGGGAAATAAAACGTCTGTTTCAGCGGAAAAAGAAGAAGTTGAAAACATAAAACAGTTCCGGATTGACATCAACCAGAAACTTGACAATCTTGAAAAGAAATGCATTGATAACATAGAAGATAAATACAAAGTATTAATCAAGAAGTTTGAAGAGCAAATTACCATATTGACAACTTTCCAAACAGATGTTCAGACTTCAGCAGCAGATATTATATCCGCCTCATCAAATGTGTCGCAAAAAATTTGTGGGGATGAAAGTAGCTTACTCGGTTACAGAAAGAGTAGATAATGTTTAAAAGAGAAAGCAGTGGAATTCAAAAGATTTGATGTTGTCTTTGAACAACAACCGAAGTTCATGTCAATGATAGACCAAATGGACATGTTGGGAGAAATTGTTGAAGCCAGTTATATATAGGCTAGGGAAAAGAGGGAGATTAGTATGAAACATGATTCAGACTCGAACCCCTGTCATGATATACGCAGTATATGTCAGCTTAAGGATGGCTGAATACAATAATAAAAGCTTAAACGTCTTGACATGACCTCATTTAAAATATTAGATGTCTGTCAACTTCCAAGATCCCCGTGGCAAATTTGTGAAGTTGACAATGAGATAGCTGTATCCTCCAGTTGGATAAACATCGACATTGTAACTACAGAAGGTCCTCTTAAAGTAGCACGGGAAATAAAAACTGATCATCGCTGTTTTGGTTTAGGGTACAAAAATGGAAAATTGTATGTTACTGATTTAATGGAGACTATGTTTGTCTACAACAAGACAGGGACAATGCTGATACAATTTTCCAAAGATCAGTCAGGTAACAACTTGTTTAACAATATCTACAGTCTTACAGTCAGTCAAGATGGCGAGAGGATGTATGTTGCTGACAATCGATATGGTCTTGTAGTACTTAGTAAGGAAGGTAAATTACATGGAAAATATAAACGTTCCAACCTCAGAAATGCAAGGGAGATTTGTGAAACAGACAGTGGATATATACTTGTTTGCGGTGAATCATCTAACATAATTGTACAATTTTCTCCAAATGGTGAGGTGATAGGAGAAATACTTACATCAGATGGAAAAGCAGGAGGTTGTCGGGCGGTCTGCTATGATCGAAATCACAAGAGGCTGATAGTTGGACGACGAGATCGGGATTATATAGAAGTTTACGACATGAAGTGGACAATAAAGAACAAATGATATCTAAACTTTCATGGAAGTTAATCAATAACTGACTCATTGATCAAATTTCAAGACGTCTGTAATGATATTCTCTTAAGATAATCTTAAGGAAGAATCTTACTCAAAATGAATGAAAATTTATTTATGAATAAATTTCATCCTGGAATTGATATTTAATAAAAAAAAATATCATTGTAAAAGATAACTCTTCATGAATTCAATAAAGCTAATTCTAAAATACTTAAGATATAGTAAAATTGTATTTCCAGTTGATTGTCTTAAATTTATTTGATCAAAAGAACAAAAATGAATGTCTAAAATTGAAATTGTTACGTCATACACTTTTGGTGTCATATAAAGGTCACATTAAAAGTAATTAATTAAAAGTTTAATAATCAATTATTTTCTATCATCAATTCATTTGGTAAAGTAATTTCATAAGTATGACGAAGACAGCTTGAATCCCCTATCAGATAATGTGCCGTCATTTTCGTTATACAAACATAGTGTAAGGGGGGCGCTAAATGTTTGCGTTAATGAAAATGATTCTTTTGTGCCTTAAACAGTATTTAATCTGGGTATGTTGTAAATACATTGTAATTGTGTAGCATCATTATTGAATTTATTGCAGTGGTTGAAATAAATATTCTTTTACTTGCATAATATAATTTTATTCAACTCGTTCTAAAAGATCAGTATGGAACCTACAGGCCGGACAAGAAATTGCTAAAAGACGGACGAACGGAAGAAGGGTGAACAGGCGCATAACAATATACGCCAAAAATATATCAAGAGTATACAAAGGGCCATATTCATCCCTTGTGGACTGCATATACATGTGCACAAATGCTGTCAAATTTATAAGACTTTTTACTCCTCCACTAATAATTCTTATCTAAACAGCCATCTTACGTTATTTATGAGCGTTGTTTTCATTTAGAATTTTTAAATGATGGCCTCGGACCGCTAACCTGGGAAACGTTGCTAGAAAAGGTATCATCTTTTATTTTTCAATGAAAAGGTCAGTACTAATTAGATCACATTAGGTTTGTCATTTTTCACCAAAGCTGTATATTTTTTGAAACATTGTATATGTCTGCTAAGACAAGCAAAAGGACAAATACCTAGCTATTAGCATTGTAGTGGCATTGTAGTTTAATACTTGAATGTATTTTCCTATACAAATTTATATAAACAAAGTGGCACGCAGGGCTGGTACAATTTTGATTCATTGGTCATGATTATAATTCTTAGAGATGCACACTTGGAAATAAAACATGCCCAATATCTATAGGTGTTATAGTTTCATAAAAGACTAATAGAATCTATCATTGGGTTAGATAGAGGATAGGGAAATCCCAACCCGAAGGTGATCGGTTCCCGATGGAACCGATTGCCCGAGGGTTGGGATTTCTCTATCCTCTATCTAACCTAATGATTGATTATTTTTTCTCACTCACTTGGACACAATAAATATCAGTAGTAGTATATGCGTCACTTGAACGTCACGACTGCACACGTGCGCTTGAGCCCCAAGACTGCACACGTGCGGCAGCAAGACTGTACACGTGCGGTGGCCATCTTGTTTCCATACATAGTAATATATTTGCATATAATGCGAATATCGGCACATGTGCGGCGGTTATTTTATTGACTTTTTTTTAATATCCCATCGATGCAGGTCCTAGATAAATTATTTATATGGTATATGTGACATGAAATATACTTTTACCCGGTTTTACGCAAATGACCGTCATTTACATATAACGGAATAAGCCCACAAACGCAACAGTCATTTGGAGGTTTTAGTTTTAATATACAAATTTAATCTTTTATCATAGTCGGTATTTGGCCAATCTCTATATACATATTCCAAGTAATATTGAATTTAAAAATATGTATCGGAGCTAATTCATAAACAACGCAGCTGAAATCAGCTTTAATTAATAAATACCCGTATGCTGTACCGTGTGACAAGTACATTAAAATCAAATATGAATATTTTACACCTTAAGGCTGAACATTTAAATGATGTTTGCACCATGTAAGCCTTTTTAAACAATACTAAAAGTAATAAATCCTTAATAAATGACCCATTTTATATACCCATAGGCTGTACAACTATTATTTGCTGTTGTAAGCCGTATTTTAAATATACATTAAAATCAAATATGAATATTTTATGTTTATAACTAAAGATTTAAATGATGATGTTAACATGATGTAATGTATTGTTTTGATAACAGTAATGATACAATAACTCTTCAATAGCCATATGAAAACTGTAAAAAAAAATCTAAATAAAAAAAATCAAACTATTCATTTTTAATTAAAAAATTTTAAAACATTAAGAACAAAAATTAAAATGGAAAAAAAAAACCTTTCCATCAATCAAAACTCCCTTTTTTTATTGGTAGTTATTTAAAAATTCTTTTAAAATTTTAAAGGATTTTTTAAAAAAAAACCTAACACTAGTTTAATTTTAAAAAAAAAACAAATTTTTTTTCCCTGTCTAAGAAGGGAAAATTTTCTCCAAAAGAAAAACATTTTCCGACAAAAAAGGAACCTTAAAAAAAAACATTTTCAAAAATTGTTTTAAATTGTCAAAATTAAATATTTTAAAAATTTTTGATTTTTTTTTTTAAAAAAGTAAAGATTTTTAAAAATTTTACATAAAGTTCTTATTTTTTTCATTATAAAAAAAAAAAATTTTCCCCCTTTTTTAATTATTTTGAAAAAGGGAAAAACAAGCCACGGCAAAAAAAATAAATAAACAAGGTAAGGATAATTTTCTGTCGTAATATTCATATTTGTATATTGGTATGCGTGTTATTTCGTCAATTTATTTGTTAAGCACTACCTGAACATAAAAAGTTATTATCTACCAAATTAAAAAAACTTTTTAGGCAAAACTTAATTGTTCGCTCTTAAGAAAACACATTTTTAAAACGAGTCTGATGGTGACCTCTATCACGTCCTTGCGAAGTGTGTTTATATCGGAGAAATTATAATTTTTATTCATTCATTAAATAGCCAGCCAGACAGTTAACATCTATCTCGACTGACATTAATTGGATATTGATTTTAACAGCGTCCGGCAAAAAACAAATAGTATGTGAGTTAAACCCATCTCCAATATTATGTTAATAATATCTTACATAAATGTACTATTCGATTAATTAAGTTTGTTTGATTATTTTGAGGTATATTAGAAAAACAATATATTTTTTAATAAAGCAATATATAACATAATATATGAATGAAAATTAATGAACAGTGTTATGATAAAATCAATATTTAACACACGAGCGTTGTTTAAATACTTTATTCTCATTGGCTACCTGTCAAAATTATTAATAATAACACCTGGTTGATTATAAATGCTCACTTCCGACTTCCCTTCGTGGCGTGCACGTCGCTCGGAAGGCATAGGTCACACCAGATGGGTGACCTAGTTAGGTCACTTAGCTGGTGTGACCTAACCAACGACGAAGGGTGTGGCCCTAAAGAGAGCTGCTGCTCCCGGAAGAGGTGCCTTTCCTCCTATTGTCATTTGTTCAACAAGCGAGAGAATTTGGTCCTAGAGAAGGTCTACGACGATCGACAGCTTGAAAAGACCTCCGTCGCGGCTCTACGACATCGACGACGTTGCAGGCGAATAAGTCCTCCGTTGCAGGCTCTACGTTACCAGCAATCGTAATAGAGGCCGACTAGTCTGGGACATATGGGAAACCGGCGCCCAGTATAAATAAAACTAACAAGAGGGCCATGATGGCCCTAGATCGCTCACCTGAATTATCAAACTCATCCAAACAATTACCTAGACAAGCATTCTGACCAAGTCTCATGACAGGTGAGTCAAAAATGTGACCACTACAGTGTTAACAAGGATTATCCATATTTGAGCAGTGCGACCTAGTTTTTTACCCAGGTGACACATATTCAAACTTGACCTAGAAATCATCAAAACAAACTTTCAGACCAATTTCCAGGATACTTGGATCAAAACAGTAGCAACTAGAGTGTTAACAAGATTTTTCTATTTTTAGCTCCTGTGACCTAGTTTTTCATCCGAGATGTCCCATGTTCGATTTATTCCAAGCAATGACCTATTCAAGTTTCCTGACCAAGTTTGATGACAATTGAGTCAAAATTGTGACCACTAGAGTGTTAACAAGGTTTTTCTATTTTTAGCTCCTGTGACCTAGTTTTTCATCCGAGATGACCCATGTTCGAACTCATCCGAGCTATCACCTAGACAAGCATCTTGATCAAGTTTGATGATGATTGATGCAAAAATGTGACCGCTAAAGTGTTAACAAGGTTTTTCTATTTATAGCTCCGGTGACCTAGTTTTTCATCCGAGATGACCCATATTCGAACTCATCCGAGCTATTATCTAAACAAGCATCCTGACAAAGTTTGATGATGATTGGGTCAAAAATGTGACCACTAGAGTGTTCACAAGGTTTTTCTATTTTTAGCTCCTGTGACCTAGTTTTTCATCAGAGATGACCCATGTTCGAACTCATCCAAGCAATTGACTAGACAAGCATTCTGACCAATTTTGATGATGATTGGTTCAAAAATGTGACCACTAGAGTGTTAACAAGGTTTTTCTATTTTTAGCTCCTGTGACCTAGTTTTTCATCCGAGATGACCCATGTTCGAACTCATCCGAGCTATCACCTAGACAAGCATCTTGATAAAGTTTGATGATGATTAATGCAAAAATGTGACCGCTAAAGTGTTAACAAGGTTTTTCTATTTATAGCTCCGGTGACCTAGTTTTTCATCCGAGATGACCCATATTCGAACTCATCCGAGCTATTATCTAAACAAGCATCCTGACAAAGTTTGATGATGATTGGGTCAAAAATGTGACCACTAGAGTGTTCACAAGGTTTTTCTATTTTTAGCTCCTGTGACCTACTTTTTCATCCGAGATGACCCATGTTCGAACTCATCCGAGCTATCACCTAGACAAACATCCTGACCAAGTTTGATGATGATTGGGTAAAAAATGTGACCTCTAGAGTGTTCACAAGGTTTTTCTATTTTTAGCTCTTGTGACCTAGTTTTTCATCCGAGATGACCCATATTCGAACTCATCCGAGCTTTCAACTAGATAAGCATCCTGACCAAGTTTGATGATGATTGAGGCAAAAATGCGACCGCTAGAGTGTTCACAAGCAATTGTGGACGGCCGGACGGACGACGGACGACGGACGACGGACGACGGACATTCACCGATCCTAAAAGCTCACCCTGAGCAAGCTCAGGTGAGCTAAAAACACACACACAAATTATAAATGCATCATTTGCTGAGACGTTTTCTTACTGGTCACACCGTAAACAAACAGGTAACGTACATTTAAAATATAATTTCTTTGATGAGACAAACAAAAAAATATTTTTTTCAATACCGATTTAATACGTATAGTTGTCCACTTAGTGTTTATATGAGAGCTTGTCTTGCTGTCTGCGGTGTGAGTAATTTTCTAGGGCGAGGGAGATATGTTACGAAATGCAACCCGTAACGTTTAAATCTTTCCTGTCCCCGTCATGAGAAT